ATAAATACATAAACGAAACTATTTTTATATTACCAGGTAAAGTCCACCGAGCTATATAGCTCTTTTCTGAACCGGCCCTGGCCCTCCTCTTGGTCAACTCAACCTCAAATGATGGCCTGTTGTGGTGTGTAAACATTATCATTGGGGAGACAAAGGCCGCCAGGCGTGGTTCTGGCCACCCAACCCCTGGTGTGTTGTGCAGGTCATCATAGGTGCTCGCCACTACCACTTGCCCCAACAGTCTGTTAAGACTATAACGGGGACCTTTGTCTTAGTTTTGTCTGATAATTGTTTTTTTTACCCTTCTATCTGGCAACAAAACTGACACCTTTTTACAAGAAGTCATGTTTGCATAGACCGCAATACCTGCCGTCATAATACAAACAACAGACATAACTCTGATAATGTGCACTATCCTCGAAGTTGATTGGTGTGGACCAATTGATTGGTGTGGACCAATCAACTTCAAGGACAGTGCACATTATCAGATTTATGTCTTTTTTTGTATTATGACTGCAGGTATTGCGGTCTATGCAAACATGACTCTTGTAAAAAGGTGTCAGTTTTGTTGCCAGATAGAAGGGTAAAAAAAAACAATTATCATTTTTTAGTCTTGTCTCTTTGTAGTATGGGTTGGTTTGTGGGGTGGGTGACATTGTGGTTACTATCAGTGGTGATTATCTCTTAAACGTGTGCCTAATACGATGTGTAAACATCCACACTAGGGAGATAAACCTGGCCTGGCATTGCGGAAGCCTCACATTCCCCATAGCCTTAAAAGATGCCTGCTTACACTATTGGCCTCACCTGTCTATGGAGATTACATGGGGGATCATTGCCTTTGTAAGTCTATGCACTGGTACATGTGTCCTTGTATGTCTGTGTTTGTAAAAGCATGAACGCACACATGCATTCCGTGTTGAGTTCGAAATGTGTAGCTTGCCCTAATCTAAATGGCGATGTTTGTCCAACTCCGTGAATGAGTGATTGTACATGCGGAAAGGAACCCGAGTACCCAGACACATCTAACACGTTGGAGCAGGTGGAGATGAATCCACTTGCTGTACTGCCATCTGCTGGCAAGCCAGGCTAAGGTGACTTCAGTGACCAGGGGAAGAGACTGATCCACCTGGATTAAAGGGGATCCCTCCCTCAATGGAATCCAGTGCTGGATTTCAGGCTCGCATCACCACAGCCCGTGCTATGCAGATACAGCACAGTAGATTGTTGGAGGGCAAGAAGAGGGTGGTTAGAAAATCTGTGGAGAAGTTTATGAATAATGAAAAAATCTGAAGGCTTTAGCTGGTAGGGTAAAAAGGGGTAAGCTGTTGAGAGAGATTGGTAAAGTTGGGTATTTATATTGTGGACGGAGCTATTCACATACGAGGCCCCACTCAGGTGGGCTCCACCGAGTGATGCTGATCAAGATGGTGGTGAAGCCTCTTCAGGCTGTGCGTGTGTTATACTGACGAAGCACTCCGCTTTAAGAATTGTAATCTTCATAGTTTTTCAAAACAACTGAACACTTCATAAATAACACTACCATTAAAGAAAATGCATTCATACACACAATACGCGACGTTATAGCAATTGCATTTTCTTAAATCCATTTGGAATATGCTCTCAAGAAATTGCCTGAAACGTCACCAGTTGTGCGTTTTCTATTTTCTGGCTGTTTTTGAGCAATGTTTTTAGAGTGTGTTATCTTGTGCACAACTGTCAACGTAGTATCATCAAATAATAATTCAATCTACAAGTTATACAGGAGGTTTTTTCACGTTGAGGACTGACAGCCAGCTTAAAGCTTAATGTACCTGCGATCTTTGGAGGCCAACTCGAAGTGGAATGATTCAGCAAACACTGGCACAAGGTTCAGCAAAGTGGAGCGTTTTATCTCCTGAACATCTCCAGTGAAAATAGTTTAAATAGAAGTTATAATTTAATTGTGCACTCTAGACAAAAGCAAACAAATACTTCTGGGTAACCCTCGTATCTCTGCAACAGTGGCCAAGCGTCACTGCATTGGTGGCAAGATGTTCACTACCTCGCCTGGTATACAGGAGGTCGTGGGTTCGATCCTGATCCTAACGCCCGCTGTATATTTGAGTCATCACGTATCTCTCCCCGTTGTCGCGTAGATTTTCTCCGGGTCCTCCGTTTTTCTCCTCCACATTTAGAATCAATTTGCATTCAGAGGATTTGGCTGCCGCTATAAATATCCACGTGACAAGCCACTCCGTTGAGCTGTAATTTGTGATAACCACGTCACATGTGAAAAAGAGCGACTTCTCTCAGTGAGCCTTGCCTAGTTAAATAAAAAAATTTTTTAGTTCACATCATCCCACATGCCACAATCCAACACTCCTGAACCAGCACTCAATACAAGACGTAATGCACTTAAAAAATATCCTCATATATATGTTAGCCGACATTTGCTATTCAAAACCGCTATAATACGGAAATGAAACAATATTTAGGTGTAATAATAAACACATCTTCATATCTCATCATATTCATTAGGCAAATAATACCGTACTAATGGTGAACTAATAAAACAAAAACGCTTCTCCTTTCTGAATCAGCCACTGCAGTCATCTCGACCAAGACGCAGAACCAACTCGGCTCGCGACAAACGCTCAACCTGAAGGCAGCCATTTTGTACGTTTTAACCATTAACACTTAAAAAACCCATTAAATTCAACAATCTACACAAATAACTGCCTCTATTTATATTTTCGTACCATTCAGAACGTTGTATCCGCATTCCGATCGCTATATGCGCATTAATTTACCTCAGAATTTCCATAACGATGTTGTCAACGCTCGTTAATTGTAAATAAAGAAATGAAACAAAATGGAGTCTCCGACGCCATTTTGTATTTACACTTTTGGCGCCAAAAAAAATGAAGCGGCGAATGAGGCAACGTTGAAGACTTTAAATCATTGGCGGAGTTTGACTTCTATATTTGTCCCTCATGAAAATAAATTAATAAAGGTGTAGTACTGTACACCTATATATACTTCTGTGCTCTAGTCTGTGTGTCTCTGTGTAGTACTGTACACTATATATACACTTCTGTGTATGTGTGTAGTACTGTACACAATATATACACTTCTGTGTCTCTGTGTAGTACTGTACACTATATATACACTTCTGTGTGTCTCTGTGTAGTACTGTACACTATATATACACTTCTGTGTGTCTCTGTGTAGTACTGTACACTATATATACACTTCTGTGTGTCTGTAGTACTGTACACTATATATACACTTCTGTGTGTTTCTGTGTAGTACTGTACACTATATATACACTTGTGTGTGTCTCTGTGTAGTACTGTACACTATATATACACTTCTGTGTGTCTGTGTAGTACTGTACACTATATATACACTTCTGTGTGTCTCTGTGTAGTACTGTACACTATATATACACTTCTGTGTGTCTCTGTGTAGTACTGTACACATATATACACTTCTGTGTGTCTCTGTGTAGTACTGTACACTGTATATACACTTGTGTCTCTGTGTAGTACTGTACACTATATATACACTTCTGTGTGTCTGTGTAGTACTGTACACTATATATACACTTCTGTCTCTGTGTAGTACTGTACACTATATATACACTTCTGTGTCTCTGTGTAGTACTGTACACTATATATACACTTCTGTGTGTCTGTGTAGTACTGTACACTATATATACACTTCTGTGTGTGTGTGTAGTACTGTACACTCTATATACACTTACGTGTGTCTCTGTGTAGTACTGTACACTGTATATACACTTGTGTCTCTGTGTAGTACTGTACACATATATACACTTCTGTGTGTCTGTGTAGTACTGTACACTATATACACACTTGTGTCTCTGTGTAGTACTGTACACTATATATACACTTCTGTGAGTCTGTGTAGTACTGTACACTATATACACTTATGTGTCTCTGTGTAGTACTGTACATTATTTACACTTCTGTGTCTCTGTGTAGTACTGTACACTATATATACACTTCTGTGCGTCTCTGTGTAGTACTGTACACTCTATATACACTTCTGTGCGTCTCTGTGTAGTACTGTACACTATATATAGACTTATGTGTGTCTCTGTGTAGTACTGTACACTATATATACACTTCTGTGTGTCTCTGTGTAGTACTGTACACTATATATACACGTCTGTGTCTCTGTGTAGTACTGTACACTATATATACACTTCTGTGTGTCTGTGTAGTACTGTACACTATATATACACGTCTGTGTCTGTGTAGTACTGTACACTATAATACACTTCTGTGTGTCTGTGTAGTACTGTACACTATATATACACTTCTGTGTGTCTGTGTAGTACTGTACACTATATATACACTTCTGTGTGTCTGTGTAGTACTGTACACTATATATACACTTCTGTGTGTCTCTGTGTAGTACTGTACACTATATATACACTTCTGTGTGTCTCTGTGTAGTACTGTACACTATATATACACTTCTGTGTGTCTGTGTAGTACTGTACACTATATATACACTTCTGTGTGTCTCTGTGTAGTACTGTACACTATATATACTGACAGCAGTGGGTCTTAACCTTTTCTGCGGAATTGCAGCGTACAGGAGATGGTGGAATACAATCCCACCATCTCCTGTACACTGGGCGAGGGAGATAACATCTTGCTACCAAATTGCTGTAGAAGGATGAGTTCATCTCTCGACACTCATCTCACAAATGAACCACCGCAGCTGAGCCTCACCGATTTATATTAACAACAGCACTCATTTCTTAAAATGTCAAGGTGTGTACAGTAGCCGTGTTCACCTTGAGGCTGCTGTTTGCACACCTCGGGGCGCGGGTTCACATTCCAGGCGGTGTCTCGTGATGTCAGTGACGACAATGAAATATTTCAAGTATTTTACTTCCTTCTTCACCGTCGCTATAAGAGAGAGGTCCTGGTCCAGCGTCTCTCTGAGCCACACAGCGAGCGATCCCAGCGAAGCCATGGGTCATGGCGAGCGCGACTCCCAGTGAGAGTGTGGATAGTGAGTTGCGCTGCTCCATCTGCCTGGGCACGTTCGTCTGCCCCTCCACGCTGAGCTGCGGACACTCGTTCTGCCTGCGGTGCCTGGAGGCCGCCTGGGAGACGGCGAGCAGCTTCAGCTGCCCGCAGTGCCGAGCGACCTTCCCTGTGCGACCCCAGCTGAGGAGGAACGTGGCCCTCGCCAACCTGGCGGAGCAGCTCAGAGTTGGAGACAGGATGGCCGCGGTTGTTGTGTGTGACAACTGCACTGACGGTCAGACTCCTGCAGTGAAGACTTGCGTGAGATGCGAGACGTCCTACTGTGCGACGCACTTGAAGCCTCACTTGGAGAATACCAGGTTGAGAGAACACCTCCTGGTGGCTCCCATCGCGAACCTGGAGGAGCGACGCTGCCGGGAGCACAGACAGGAGCTAGTTCTTTACTGTGAACAGGACAAGATCCCGGTCTGCCCAGTCTGCCCCGTCGCAGGAGACCACTCCGGGCACAGGGTCATCACAGTGGAAAAAGCGCAACAGACAAGACAGGTGAAGTGTAATGCTCCGTTGTAATCCACATTGTTACAGGAGGTTGAGAGATTCACATCAGTAGATCGTGACCCCTCACCTCGACCAGGTGAGCTCCTGTTATGACCAAACGCCCCTTTACAGGGAGACCCAGGTAGAGGTGGCAGGGTGGCTCAGACGTCAGAACGCTGAGATGGTAACGCTGTAATGCTCAGTTGGAATCTTGTCGGCCGCCCATGGTTTAAACCGGATTCTCAAGTTTAGTGAGTTGATGGTCTAAGCCGAGTCAACATTTGACAGCACGTTAAACAACATTTTGCGTGAGAATTCATAATCTTTGATTGACTAAGTGAGAAACGTTGTTATGTATAGTAAGGCGTGTGAGAAGCTGGTAGAGGTTAAAACATATTTTAGAATGTACGTGATATTTGTCAATGATGTTGTCTAACAGGATATTGCATTGCTCTGCAGTAATTACGATTGGATTCTTCGTCTCAATACATGACACGGACAGTGCAGTCGGGATACAATCGTGGGAAAAGTAAAAATATGAATGGAGACGTATGCAGAAATATAATGACAACAGATGTGTGTATGTGTGTTGAACTTCTTTCATAGCCAACCGTGCTAATCAGAGTTGCGGGATGATCATTCAGTGATCCACCAATGGCAATGGCGAGCACCGCGTATTTATTGATTTATTTACCACAACGCAGGAGGAGCTCAGAGTCAGGAAGGAGGGGAGAGAGGAGAAGAGGAACACGGCGGCGTCACGGACACGGACACTCAGGGACGACTACCGGCACGTGGAGGTACAGAGAGAGATGGCAGCCGCACAATTCCCTCTTCTGGTTTGCCTAAGAATCTTATTTAATTAAACCCAACTCTTATTATACTCTTTGGTTCTTTCGGTAAAGTCACATAAGTAGAAAAAATAATAGATCACGACGTTTCGATCGCAACACAAGCAATCGTCATCAGGTGGGACAACCACAGCAAGAAAAAAACTGCTGAAGTAACTCTTCCTATTGACGAGCACTGCCCAACGCGTCGGCGCGGCATACAACTTTGGTGAATTGCAAGCGGTGTGGATTTCAAGCAAATCGTTTCCCAATGACAACTCACTTGCTGCCTACTTTAAATCAACAAAATTAACGACATCAAACTGTAACGGAGCAAAGTGTGAGTTCGTAGCTGTGTTTGTCTGTCAGCACTTTTTTTAAGCCCATTTTTTTAGAGCGCACAACCTTTATGAAACTTTAATCTTGAATTAAATATACACGTTTACGACATATTTAGAAGGCTACCACAGAATAACACAAATTAAATTTACGACGCAACTTCCAACTTGACAGCAGTTTTGGTTTAGGGGGGATGAAATCGTTCCGCGCTGGATGAAGCGTTAACGACTTGCCCTGTCGATTCCTTTATTGATCACAACCACGATGCTAGCCATGGAAGCTTGCGATACCTCCCTTCTGACCCCCAAAATCTGGACAGCACCAACTTAGCCTGAGTGCAAGAGAGAGTGGACGTGAGTATTGCTTTAGAAATCAGCACTGTTTGTCTATTTCAGCACATTTTTGTTTAAAACAATAGAGCAATGTAACGTGTATTTGTTCTGTATATTCGCAGACCTTTGACACAATTTTCTGGGAATGTCCTCGGCAAAAGACTTGGTTTTGATTTAATTCACGTTTCCATCCGACGCATCGTTTGGTAAATCAAGAGTTGGACGGAAAGACCGACAGAAGCGAATGATACCCACATAGATGTATTTAATTTCCCCCAGATTGACACTCAGCAACGTGTAGCTACAGACAAGTAATTCCTATACTACCCTTGCCTATGATATTTTCCACTTATATCCCATTCTCATTCTCCCTGTGCTTTATATGTTCACGAGCTCCCAATGCACACGTCGCTCAACTCCGTGTACTTAATCGAGATATGGTAACAATCATTACCTGTACGACACCACATTGCGTCGTTGCCTAACAAGTGACTCAACAACTCGGCGCTGTCTGTGTAGGAGTCTGTGCGTGGGACCAAGGCGCGGATCAGCCGAGAGTTTGAGCGCCGGAGGAAGCAGCTGAGGGAGGAGGAGAGGGAGGCGCTGAAGCGCGTGGACGAGGAGGGCCGCTCCGTGCTGTCCCGCATCCAGGCGGACATCGCTCGCTACGAGAGCAGAGCACGCGGCCTGGAGCAGGAGATCAACCAGCTGCTCGCCGCCCTCGCCGTGCAGGACCCGCTCTCCTTCCTGCAGGTGGTACCACCTCCATTCACTCGCCGCGGTGACTAGTAGATGTTAACTACCTCGCTTGATATGCAGGTGGTCATGGGTTCGATACCAACCCTGACTACTCTTAGGTTTTTTTCGGTAAAGTCACGTAGGTAAAATAATAATAATACAATTAAATAATAATAAATGCAAATAACTCAATTAAATCACGACGTTTCGGAGGCAACACAAGTCTCCGTCTTCAGGTGGGACTTTACCGAAAAAACCTAAGAGTATGAATCCTTGCAGTCACGAAAGCTTCAAATCTAGAACCAACCCTGACATCTGTTGTATATTTGGAGTTTGCATCTCTCTCTCTCCTCGTGGATGTGTAGTCCTCCGGTTTTTCCCTCCACATTTAGAATCAACATCACGTGTTTAGGGTAATTTGCTGGTTTAAATTTCCACATGATACGCCACTTCTTAAATTTTCATTTCTGGCAAGGTTACTTCAGACGGATAGCTATATAGCTCAGTGGGCCTTACCTGGTAAGGTATAAAAAAGTAGTTTAAAATAGTTTATCCTCACAGCCTTGGTTTATCAGAAGAGGGTTTAACTAAAACCAGCAGAGACACACCGCCCTGTGAGACGTTGACATTGTTGGAAATCTTATTTCATTGTTTTTCGATCTAGGAGCAAGCGGCATTGTCCAGAAATAGACGCACGTTTGCTTCCGTGTGACATTCAGACCTAGACTTGTCCAGTACAACCCTGACCCCGACGATGCCTGCTGTAAATTTGGAGTCTACGTCTCTCTCTCTCTCTCTGTGATCGCGTAGATTTTTTTTCCAGGTCCTCTGGGTTTTCCCACCACATTTATAGTCAACATCACCCATTTCTAGTAGTTGGCTTCTATTATAAATGTCCACATAAACCAGTTCATTGAGCTATCATTTGTGATAGGCAGCTCGCTACTGAACAAGAGCGACATAGCGAAGTGGGCCATACCTGATAAAATATAAAATTTTGTTAATTCAGAGTTCAAAAACACGGGTTGTTGAACATCACTTAACCATTTATTTAGCTGCTAGACTAGACCTACAAAGAGTGGTTTTGTCATTTGTTGGGGTTCGTGTCCAGTTAAACGAATCCTGTTTTTTTTATTTTAAAGAACAATAATAGGCTTAACATTACAAATGCAATGCAAGTATCAAAGTATTAATAGCTCTGGTTGAGCAGTGATAACTTGTGTTTGAACATCTGTAAAGGATAAAGCCTCTTCCTATTTTTTTCATCATATCGATATTGGCAAATAGGTACCACAGATAACTCTGTTTTTCATTATTCTCGATTTGCTGGTATTTATTAATTCCTTGGTGTTGTGCTCCACTGTAAGCGGCAGGCGACTGCGTGGAGGTGGCCATCTGTTTAGGATGTCAACGTTAATGTGAAATGCGGGTTTGTGTTTTTCAGGATCCCCTGCATGAGAATATCAGGTCAGTACCAACCCAGACTCGAACTCGAGCTCTGTCTGCCACCTGCTGGACAAATCAGTGAACGGTCATGATGGGATTCCTAATAAACCCATTTGTATGGAGTCGCGGTCCCATATTGTCCATGTGTCAAGAGACAAGAGACATGGACCTCCATTAGACTCTGCGTGTCCCGTGCTGAGTGAGTGGAGGGACTGCACCCTCCATAGACTCTGCGTGTCCCGTGCTGAGTGCAGGATCTTGGACTCGCAGGGGATCCAGGATGCGCCTCCTCCCACATTCAGTCCCCAAGAGCTCACAGAGGTCATCTCGCTAGGAGGAGTGAATACGATGCGCGTGGCTCTCGTGTGTGAGTCTCTCTCTGCACTGTGCACTGATCTGTCGACATCGTTCATTACAAACACAACGATGCAGACCGGCACCGCTCGGTAGGCTGCTGCACTTTGTTTAAGACAGGTGGCGTGTCCTTGGGGCGTGAATCTTTAAAAAATATATATTTTACCAGGTAAGATCCACTGAGCTATGTGGCTCTTTTTCACAAGGAAACTGGCCGCAAATGACAACTCAACTAAGTCGATTATCACATGGAAATTTATAGTAGCAACCAAATGATCTTAACGCATTCAGTTGAGTCTAAATGTGAAGCAAATAATTGGAGGATGCTGAGAAAATTCCACGCGACCACCACTGGGAGATAGACACAAACACTCCAAATATACAGCAGCAACAGCAGGCACCGTCAAGGTCGGGATCGAACCCATGACCTCCTGTATACCTGGCGAGGTTGTTAACATCTCCCTGACCACTGTGATGATGAGAGACACAGACTCCAAATATACAGGAGCGGCAGTCATGGTCAGGGTCGGGATCAAACCTACAAGCTCCTGCATACCAGGTGAGGGAGATGACATCAGGCAGATCGAGAGTCAGCCCAGTGAGAAAGAGGCACCACGCCCGGCCACCTTTGTCTCCCTCGTGTCAAATGTTTACACATCACACAAGCAGAGGGCAGTGCAGCGTGAACCATTGTTGTACTGCACCTCTACGCTTCCAACTTCACGATCCCCACCATCGCCAACGAGCACTGACGAGAGCGGTGAAGTATGGTCAAATAACCCCCCCCCCCCGGATGCGCACGGCAAGGGGAGGCGCTCACCCAGCAGCGGAGTGACACACAATGTCTGTGTGTGGATGTGAGAGTGTGCGAGGCTGTTAACACACAATGTCTGTGTGTGGGTGTGGGAGTGTGCGAGGCTGTGACACACGATGTCTGTGTGTGGATGTGAGAGTGTGCGAGGCTGTGACACACGATGTCTGTGTGTGGATGTGAGAGTGTGCGAGGCTGTGACACACAATGTCTGTGTGTGGGTGTGAGAGTGGCGTTTACATCGTGGTGCTGGCATCATCACTGCTCTTCACTACCACTGCACACACGAATATTAGTATATGAACATTAATACTAACGAATATTAGTATGTGTACACTAACACTAACTAATATTAGTATATGTACACTAATACTAACGAATATTAGTTTGTGTACACTAATACTAACGAATATTAGTTTGTGCACACTAATACTAACTAATATTAATTTGTGTACACTAATACTAACGTATATTAGTATGTGTACACTAATACTAACTAATATTAGTGTGTGTACACTAATACTAACGATTAGTGTGTGTACACTAATACTAACCAATATTAGTATGTGTGCACTAATACTAACGAATATTAGTATGTGTACACTAATACTAACTAATATTAGTGTGTGTACACTAATACTAACTAATATTAGTGTGTGTACACTAATACTAACTAATATTAGTATGTGTACACTAATACTAACTAATATTAGTGTGTGTACACTAACACTAACTAATATTAGTGTGTGTACACTAATACTAACTAATATTAGTATGTGTACACTAATACTAACTAATATTAGTGTGTGTACACTAACACTAACTAATATTAGTGTGTGTACACTAATACTAACTAATATTAGTATGTCTACACTAATACTAACTAATATTAGTGTGTGTACACTAACACTAACTAATATTAGTGTGTGTACACTAATACTAACTAATATTAGTATGTGTACACTAATACTAACGAATATTAGTATGTGTACACTAATACTAACTAATATTAGTGTGTGTACACTAACACTAACTAATATTAGTATGTGTACACTAATACTAACTAATATTAGTGTGTGTACACTAACACTAACTAATATTAGTATGTGTACACTAACACTAATATTAGTGTGTGTACACTAACTAATATTAGTATGTGTACACTAACACTAACTAATATTAGTGTGTGCACACTAATACTAACTAATATTAGTGTGTCTACACTAACACTAATATTAGTATGTGTACACTAACACTAACTAATATTAGTGTGTGTACACTAACACTAATATTAGCGTGTGTACACTAACACTAATATTAGTATGTGTACACTAACACTAACTAATAATAGTATGGGCACACTAATACTAACTAATATTAGTATGTGTACACTAATACTAACTAATATTAGTGTGTGTACAATAATACTAACTAATATTAGTATGTGTACACTAATACTAACTAATATTAGTATGTGTACACTAATACTAACTAATATTAGTATGTGTACACTAATACTCACCACAGATGGACGCTCACCGACTCTGGACACAAACTCAGCCAGCGACGACCTCCAGATTTCCTCGGATCTCAGGACGGCGACGCTGAGCCGTGTCCCCCAGGGTCGCCCCCATCACCCACACCGCTTTCACTGCCGGCACCAAGCCCTGTGCTCTGAGAGCTTCTCGTCGGGTCAGCACTACTGGGAGGTGGACGTGGGGAGCGCGAGGGGGTATCGGGTTGGAGTCGCGTACGGGACGATCGCACGGAGAGGGCGTTGTGATGAGTGCCGCCTGGGAGTGAGCGACGTCTCCTGGTGTCTACAGAAACAAGTCGACAGCTTCTCAGTGTGGCATGGCGGGGTAGTGACGTCACTGTCGGTGCCGCAGCCTCCGCGGAGAGTCGGGGTCCACCTGGACTGGGACGCGGGGCTGCTGTCGTTTTACAACGCCGACTCCATGGCGCCGTTGCACTCGTTTAATAAAACTTTCACTCAGCCCCTACACCCTGGGCTGATGGTGGGGTTGGGTGACTCAGTGAGGATTGTGGATCTGAGTGGTGCGTCCTGAGAGAGGTGAACGTGAACAGCGCAGAGGGCAGACGCCACCACGACGCACGGCGCTCGCCACCCTCGTCACCGCCACGCGCAGCGCCACGCCCGTGACTGGCTGGTGGCTGTCGGTGGCTAGGGGCTGCGTGGCTGAGCGTAAATAATCCTCACAACCTTCATGGGGGGGGGGTGATAAAATAAGTACCGCTCTGTGTGTGTGTAAAGCCAACGTGGATGTATTCACCCTGCCAGAGGAGTGTGACTGTAGTGTAGGGTGCAGTGATTAGCAATGGTGAACTGGGATGTGTTTATACACTGGTGGTGTCATGGGTTGTGGGAGAGACACAACAACAAAAATATTATATTTCTTACGTTCTTTCGGTAAAGTCACGTAAATAAAAAAATAAAAAAATATGCAAAATAAAATAATAAACATTAAATAAAAATGTAAAATGTGAAACCAAAAATTAATGACGTTTTGATCGCAACACACGCGGTCGTCATCAGTCAAGAAAAGTTTTAAGTCAAAACAATAATATTATTGATTTTTAAAAGTATAAATGTACGCGTACGACAGTGGCATTGTAACGCTGGTATCGTCGATTCTACAATAAAAATACAGAACACAAACAACAACAATGTAGTTGTGTACAGCGTCATTCGTGCTCACTGCATCCCGCAACGCCGTTCATTAATTAAACACGAGGACCAAATCCTCTACACAGCCACTGCCAAGCAAATTAAATCTACAAATTAATAAACAAATAAAGAGACGGCGCCAAACACAAAAGGCGCCAACAATGTCCGAGCTGTTCAAGTTGTCTGCTGCTACGTCATGGACGTGGTGACGTCACCACGCACGCTACCACAATGCGGTGACGTCACCACCCAAGCTCCCATAACGTGGTGACGTCACCACGCACGCTCCCCCAACGTGGTGACGTCACCACGCACGCTCCCCCAACGTGATGACGTCACCACGTCACCACGTCTCCCCACCCCCACGCCCGCCCCTCACCACTGCACCATCTGTGAACACAAAGAGCTTCACAGCTCATCGGATTCCTCCTGCACCACAAACACAGATTCTGACGTTCTGGATTCCCGCCACTGGGGGAGTCCCTCGCTGTGACGTCACCACGTCACCGCGTTGGCGACAACAAAAACAAACAGAGGCCCTGAGGGGCACCCTGCAGCCTCGCTGCTGTGACCCAGCACTGTGGGGGGGGGTTGGTGACGTCACCTCGCTGCTGTGACCCAGCACTGTGGGGGGGGAGGGGGTTGGTGACGTCACCTCGCTGCTGTGACCCAGCACTGTGGGGGGGGGGGGGGTTGGTGACGTCACCTCGCTGCTGTGACCCAGCACTGTGGGGGGGGGGGTTGGTGACGTCACCTCGCTGCTGTGACCCAGCACTGTGGGGGGGGGGGGGTTGGTGACGTCACCTCGCTGCTGTGACCCAGCACTGTGGGGGGGGGGGGGTTGGTGACGTCACCTCGCTGCTGTGACCCAGCACTGTGGGGGGGGGTTGGTGACGTCACCTCGCTGCTGTGACCCAGCACTGTGGGGGGGGGGGGGGTTGGTGACGTCACCTCGCTGCTGTGACCCAGCACTGTGGGGGGGGGGGTTGGTGACGTCACCTCGCTGCTGTGACCCAGCACTGTGGGGGGGGGGTTGGTGACGTCGCCTCGCTGCTGTGACCCAGCTCTGTGGGGGGGGGGGGTTGGTGACGTCGCCTCGCTGCTGTGACCCAACACTGTGGGGGGGGGGGTTGGGTGACGTCACCTCGCTGCTGTGACCCAACACTGTGGGGGGGGGGGTTGGTGACGTCACCTCGCTGCTGTGACCCAGCACTGTGGGGGGGGGGGTTGGGTGACGTCACCTCGCTGCTGTGACCCAACACTGTGGGGGGGGGGGGGGTTGGTGACGTCACCTCGCTGCTGTGACCCAGCACTGTGGGGGGGGGGTTGGTGACGTCACCTCGCTGCTGTGACCCAGCACTGTGGGGGGGGGGGGTTGGTGACGTCACCTCGCTGCTGCGACCCAGCACTGTGGGGGGGGGGGGTGTTGGTGACGTCACCACTGACGCTGCTGGGAACTCCCACACACACACAGACGACTCTCTACCCTGTAATCGCTCGATACAGCCTACTCCCTGCACACAGAGACAAACACATACTAGAAACGCAGAGAAACATCGACATTACTATACACAGACTAAAGAGACACACACACTACACCGATATACACACAGACTAGAGACACACACATCATACACAGAGACTCACAGACTACAGACACGCAGAATTACGTACAGTCCTACACACAGACGACACAAGAGGCATGTACAGTACTACACACACCGACACAGACTAGACAAACAGATTACACACAAATTCCGCCGTATAGCCTCAGTAGATGGTGTGGACAAGTTCCGCGAGCGAGTGGCAGCAGTGCCTTGGGAGGCCGTGACGGCTCACGAGTTGGTGGCTGTCAGCACCACAGCCGCCTGGCTTCGCCTCTGCCCAGCAGCGATGTTCACCGCACAGCGCGCCAGGCAGGATGCCTTTGGTGCCGAGTCGACCTAGGGGAGGCCCAGGGCCGGTTTAGCTCATTGCCAACACTGCTGCTGCTGGTGGTGGCCGTGTACAGTGGTCATGTACAGACAGGACACAGAGGGCTTTATACAGAGACACAAGTATAAATATATAGTGTACAGTACTCCGTTGGTGGGCATGGAGCGGGGTGGTGGTGGTGGTAGTGGTGTTCGTGGTGATGGTAGTGGTGTTGGTGGTCTTAGTGGTGCTGGTCTGTGGCCGTTTGGGTCGATGCGGTGTCTCTTGGCCAGCGGTGACGGTGCGAGAAGTTCACTTTCAGCGTGGGCCCAGTTTGTGTGGGAAGGGGGGAGAGGAGGGGGCACGGGGGGACAACGCCCCCCCCCCCCAAAAAAAAAAACTGGGCACATTTATTAATTTATTTTCATGATTTACAACTAAAAATAAATTAAATACTCCCGCGATTCCTAATTTGAGGGACAAATATGAAAGTCAAACTCCGCCAACGATTTAAAGTCTTCAACGTTGCCTCATTCGCCGCTTCATTTTTTTGGCGCCAAAAGTGTAAATACAAAATGGCGTCGCAGACTCTATTTTGTTGCATTCGCTTATTTATTTACAATTAACGAGCTTTGATAACTTTGTTCTGGAAATTCTGAGGTAAATTAATGCGCATATAGCGATCGGAATGCGGTTACAACGTTCTGAATGGTACGAAAATATAAATAGAGGCAGTTGTTCGTGTAGATTGTTCAATTTAACGTGTTTTTAAAAGTGTTAATGGTTAAAACGTACAAAATGGCTGCCTTCGGGTTGATCGTTTGTCGCGATCCGAGTTGGTTCCGCGTCTTGGTCGAGATGACTGCAGTGGCTGATTCGGATAGGAGAAGCGTTTTTGTTTTAAATATTCACGTTTAGCACGGGATGATGAGATATTAAGATGTATTTATTCATCCAAACCGCCCAGTGTCTCTCAACTCCGTGCTCTGTACAAGACGCAGCTACTCACACTCGCCTGCCCCTAACAGCCACCATTTAACAAGGCGGAGGGGGGACCGGTGTTTTATGATTCTTTTAATTTGCTTGTAGTTTATTTTATTATTCATTTGTTATTCATGTGTAATTTATTTTATTTAAATGATTACATATTTCATAAATATTACTTTCTAATATTATTTATCTAAATTATTACGTTCATTAAAATTATTCATTCCATTATTAATTTATTATTCATACATAATTAACTTTATTAAAATTATGAAAACAAAAATTTATTTGTTATGTTATTTTATTTAAATTTGTTAATTCATGTAACTTATCAATTTTTTATATATATAATTTTTTCATTTTATTATTCATTCATCTTATAAATGTTAATTTTTTTTCCTTAACTTGTTATTCATTTTCTTTACTTATTATTCACTTTATTTGTTACTTAATGTTCTTCTGCTATTTGTTGCACGCGGCTGCAAATGGACTTTGCTCAGTCGGTGGTCGCCGCTGAGGTCGTGACGGGTTTCTTTTGTTCCGTTCCTGTTGCTCTGTGGCCCCGGTAGCGTTCCCGTGCTGCTGTGATGTGCATCGATGCCCACTTTAGTGAGGGCGATGTTGGCACGCAGACTGAAGATCGATTGCAGAGGACAAATGCAAGTCCCTTCATGTCCAGTAAATGTCTCGTTACTCGAACAAATATGTAAAACCTTACCCATGGCTTGAGGAATATCCTGAAGCTAATTAAATGACTTGACAATTATAATTGGAATCTCAGCGCCACCGTGACGAAGAATGAAAGCTGTCAATGCTCCTCACATTTCCAGCTTTCAACTGAAGAAGCTTCAAATCTTGACGATGCTCCCAGCACGTGGAGGGAACGTCACAGACATCGCGCTGATCAACAAGGGGCAGAACCTGAAAGCGCATCGGAGAGAGGCACAACGCGTAATCTGCACACCGCACTCCGACGTGCACGCCGCTCACCAATCCCAGCGCCACAGTCCAGGCTCAACCTTGCGCAGCTTCCGAGATCTGTAAACAAAAATCGGTGACATTCCGGATTAATTTGGCCACAGCCTCTTGTGAAATCTCCCGTGCACTTTCATTGTTCAGCGCGCCCCGCGAATCCCTGCGGTGGAGTGGCAGCGCCCTCGCGTGGCGCGCACCAACACCGCTCCAGGCAGCGCAGGGACCCAAACGGCGTCTGGGAATCGGTCGCGATTCGTGACTCGGTCCGCAACTCTGGAGCAGTGCCGGCAGTGAGACAATGAGCCCCACGTGACCCCCAACATCCCCATCTCCCCCACCCCCTTGGGGTCCCTCCTATCACGTGACAACCCCCAAGCCCCCCCCCAGAAACCCTCCCCCCCACCTCTACCCCTCCCCCTGGTGGCTGTTGTTGTGGTGGTGATTTTGGTGGTGGTTGTTGTTGTACTGGTAATTGTTGTGGTTGTTGTGGTGGTGGTTGTGGTGGTTGTTGTTGTGGTGGTTGTCGTAGTGGTGGTTGTTGTGGTTGTGGTGGTTGTTGTTGCTGCTCTACCACTTTCTCCTGACGAGCACCACGTGGTCACGTGGCGCCATCGCGGGAAGTTCCCAGTAGCGTCAGCGGTGACGTCACCAACCGCCGCCCCCCCACAGTGCTGGGTCACAGCAGCGAGGTGACGTCACCAACCCCCCCCCACAGTGCTGGGTCACAGCAGCGAGGTGACGTCACCAACCCCCCCCCCCCACAGTGCTGGGTCACAGCAGCGAGGTGACGTCACCAACCCCCCCCCCACAGTGCTGGGTCACAGCAGCGAGGTGACGTCACCAACCCCCCCCCCCCCCACAGTGCTGGGTCACAGCAGCGAGGCTGCAGGGTGCCCCTCAGGGCCTCTGATTGTTTTTGTTGTCGCCAACGCGGTGACGTGGTGACGTCACAGCGCGTTGACGTGGTGACGTCACAGCGCGGGACTCCCCCAGTAGCGGGAATCCAGAACGTCAGAATCTGTGTTTGTGGTGCAGGAGGAATCCGATGAGCTGTGAAGCTCTTTGTGTTCACAGATGGTGCAGTGGTGAGGGGCGGGCGTGAGGGGGGTGGGGGGAGAGGTGACGTGATGACGTCAGCGCGTTGAGGGAGCGTGCGTGGTGACATCACCACGTTGTGGGAGCGTGCGTGGTGACGTCACTGCGTTGTGGGAGCGTGCGTAGTGACGTCACCACGTCCATGACGCAGCAGCAGCAGACAACTTGAACAGCTCGGACATTGTTGGCGCCTTTTGTGTTTGGCGCCGTCTCTTTATTTGTTTATTAATTTGTAGATTTAATTTGCTTGGCAGTGGCTGTGTAGAGGATTTGGTCCTCGTGTTTAATTAATGAACGGCGTTGCGGGATGCAGTGAGCACGAATGACGCTGTACACAACTACATTGTTGTTGTTGTTGTGTTCTGTATTTTTATTGTAGAATCGATGATACAAGCGTTACATTGCCACAGTCGTACGCGTACATTTATACTTTTAAAAATCAATAATATTATTGTTTTGACGTAAAACTTTTCTTGACTGATGACGGCCGCGTGTGTTGCGATCAAAACGTCATGAATTTTTGGTTTCACATTTTACATTTGTATTTAATGTTTATTATTACATTTTTCATATCTTTTTTTTCTATCTACGTGACTTTACCGAAAGAACGTAAAGAATATAATATTGTTGTATCTCTCCCACAACCCATGACACCACCAGTGTATAAACACATCCCAGTTCACCATTGCTAATCACTGCACCCTACACCACAGTCACACTCCTCTGGCAGGGTGAATACATCCACGTTGGCTTCACACACACACAGAGCGGTACCTATTTTATCACCCCCCCCTCCTATGAAGGTTGTGAGGATTGTTTACGCTCAGCCCCCCCGTTGTGATGGAGAGCCACGCAGCCCCTAGCCACCGACAGCCACCAGCCAGTCACGGGCGTGGCGCTGCGCGTGGCGGTGACGAGGGTGGCGAGCGCCGTGCGTCGTGGTGGCGTCTGCCCTCTGCGCTGTTCACGTTCACCTCTCTCAGGACGCACCACTCAGATCCACAATCCTCACTGAGTCACCAACACCACCCCACCTCCACCCCACCCACAGCCCAGGGTGTAGGGGCTGAGTGAAAGTTTTATTAAACGAGTGTAACAGCGCCATGGAGTCGGCGCTGTAAAACGACAGCAGCCCCGCGTCCCAGTCCAGGTGGACCCCGACTCTCCGCGGAGGCTGCGGCACCGACAGTGACGTCTCTACCCCGCCATGCCGCACTGAGAAGCTGTCGCCTTGTTTCTGTAGACACCAGGAGACGTCGCTCCCTCCCAGGCCGCACTCAGCACCAGTCCCTCTCCGTGGGATCGTCCCGTACGCGACTCCAACCCGACACAGCCTCGCGCTCCCCACGTCCACCTCCCAGTAGTGCTGACCCGACGAGAAGCTCTCAGAGCACAGGGCTTGTGGCCAGACATCAAAGCGGTGTGGGTGATGGGGGCGACCCTGGGGACACCGCTCAGCGTCATCGTCCTGAGATCCGAGGAAATCTGGAGGCGGTCGTGGGCTGAGTTTGTGTCCAGAGTCGGTGAGCGTCCATCTGTGGTGAGTATTAGTGTACACATACTAATATTAGTTAGTATTAGTGTACACATACTAATATTAGTTAGTATTAGTGTACACATACTAATATTAGTTAGTATTAGTGTACACACACTAATATTCGTTAGTATTAGTGTACACATACTAATATTCGTTAGTATTAGTGTACACATACTAATATTCGTTAGTATTAGTGTACACATACTAATATTAGTATTAGTGTACACATACTAATATTAGTTAGTATTAGTGTACACAAACTAATATTAGTTAGTATTAGTGTACACATACTAATATTAGTTAGTATTAGTGTACACATACTAATATTCGTTAGTATTAGTGTACACACACTAATATTCGTTAGTATTAGTGTACACAAACTAATATTCGTTAGTATACTAATATTCGTTAGTATTAGTGTACACATACTAATATTCGTTAGTATTAGTGTACACAAACTAATATTCGTTAGTATTAGTGTACACATACTAATATTCGTTAGTATTAGTGTACACATACTAATATTAGTTAGTGTTAGTGTACACAACTAATATTCGTTAGTATTAGTGTACACACACTAATATTCGTTAGTATTAGTGTACACAAACTAATATTCGTTAGTATTAGTGTACACAAATAAATATTCGTTAGTATTAGTGTACACAAACTAATATTCGTTAGTATTAGTGTACACATACTAATATTCGTTAGTATTAGTGTACACATACTAATATTCGTTAGTATTAGTGTACACTTACTAATATTCGTTAGTATTAGTGTACACATACTAATATTCGTTAGTATTAGTGTACACATACTAATATTCGTTAGTATTAGTGTACACATACTAATATTCGTTAGTATTAGTGTACACATACTAATATTCGTTAGTATTAGTGTACACATACTAATATTAGTTAGTATTAGTGTACACAAACTAATATTAGTTAGTATTAGTGTACACAAACTAATATTCGTTAGTATTAGTGTACACATACTAATATTCGTTAGTTTAGTGTATACATACTAATATTAGTTAGTATTAGTGTACACATACTAATATTCGTTAGTATTAGTGTACACATACTAATATTCGTTAGTATTAGTGTACACACACTAATATTCGTTAGTATTAGTGTACACAAACTAATATTCGTTAGTATTAGTGTACACACACTAATATTAGTTAGTGTTAGTGTACACATACTAATATTCGTTAGTATTAGTGTACATATACTAATATTCGTTAGTATTAGTGTACACAAACTAATATTCGTTAGTATTAGTGTACACAAATTAATATTCGTTAGTATTAGTGTACACACACTAATATTCGTTAGTATTAGTGTACACATACTAATATTCGTTAGTATTAGTGTACACATACTAATATTCGTTAGTATTAGTGTACACAAACTAATATTCGTTAGTATTAGTGTACACATACTAATATTCGTTAGTATTAGTGTACACATACTAATATTCGTTAGTATTAGTGTACATATACTAATATTCGTTAGTATTAGTGTACACATACTAATATTCGTTAGTATTAGTGTACATATACTAATATTCGTTAGTATTAGTGTACATATACTAATATTCGTTAGTATTAGTGTACATATACTAATATTCGTTAGTATTAGTGTACACACACTAATATTCGTTAGTATTAGTGTACACAAACTAATATTCGTTAGTGTTAGTGTACACATACTAATATTCGTTAGTATTAGCGTACATATACTAATATTCGTTAGTATTAGTGTACACATACTAATATTCGTTAGTATTAGTGTTCATATACTAATATTCGTGTGTGTGTGCAGTGTTAGTGAAAAGCGGTGATGATGCCAGCACCACGACATAAACGCCACTCTCACATCCACACACAGACATTGTGTGTCACAGCCTCGCACACTCTCACATCCACACACAGACATTGTGTGACACAGCCTCGCACACTCTCACACCCACACACACACATCGTGTGTCACAGCCTCGCACACTCTCACATCCACACACAGACATCGTGTGTCACAGCCTCGCACACTCTCACATCCACACACAGACATTGTGTGTCACAGCCTCGCACACTCTCACATCCACACACAGACATCGTGTGTCACAGCCTCGCACACTCTCACATCCACACACAGACATCGTGTGTCACAGCCTCGCACACTCTCACATCCACACACAGACATCGTGTGTCACAGCCTCGCACACTCTCACATCCACACACACACATTGTGTGTCACAGCCTCGCACACTCTCACATCCACACACACACATTGTGTGTCACAGCCTCGCACACTCTCACACCCACACACACACATTGTGTGTCACAGCCTCGCACACTCTCACATCCACACACAGACATTGTGTGTCACAGCCTCGCACACTCTCACATCCACACACAGACATTGTGTGTCACAGCCTCGCACACTCTCACACCCCCACACAGACATTGTGTGTCACAGCCTCGCACACTCACACCCCCACACAGACATTGTGTGACACTCTGCTGCTGGATGAGCGCCTCATCGCGCCGTGCGCGCCCTGGGGGGGTTATTTGACCATACTTCAACGCTCTCGTCGGTGCCGTTGGCGATGGTGGGGATCGTGAATGTAGAAGCGTAGAGGTGCAGTACAACAATGGTTCACGCTGCGCTGCCCTCTGCTGCCCACCCCTTCACCAACAGTAAACTTTTATTTATTTAAATAAATTTCGATGCCCAAAGTTCTGCCTCCGGTTTTTCCTTCCACTTGCAGCGACTATTTGCCTGCCGCTATGAATGTCCGCACGGTGACGATATCAGCCACTTGGTTGAGCTGTCGTGTGTGGTGGCCAGGTCGCTTCTGGACAAGAGCTAGACAGCTCAGTGGCGTATTGTCTGGTTTAATAAAATAAGTTCAGTCTATGGGTCTCCATGTATCTCTATTAGTCCCTTTGTATCTTTACGGTTCTCGCTGTGTGACTATGGGTCTAGCATCTATATGGGTCTCAATGTATCTATATGGGTCTCTATGTATTTTTGACTGCTGATATAAATGTCCACGTGATGACGATGATGATGTCATCCATTTGGTTGCGCTATCATTTGTGACGGCCAGCTCGCTTCTGAACAGGAGCTACTTAGCTCAGTGGGGCCCTGCACCTGGTCAAATAAAAATTGGTTAAATAGGTGGGTCAGAGAGCCCCGCAGCCTATAGCACCTGCTATGCATGGTTGTCACCCAGCACTAGCCAAGCTCAACGCTGCTTAGCCAGAAATCGACCCCACGTTGTGCAGCGCGTCAGACGCTGTCCCACCGCTCCCTCGGTGTGTATAATAACCGTTAAACATATAAAATAGTGGGTAGTGGGTGAATGAGTGGGGGTTTAGGTATGTGAATGAGTGGGTGAATGAGTGGGTGAATGAGTGGGTGGGTGAATGAGTGGGTGAGTGAGTAGGTGAATGAGTGGGTGAGTGAATAGGTGAATGAGTGGGTGAGTGAGTAGGTGAATGAGTAGGTGAGTCGGGGTGTGCGTAGGTTAGTGAGTGGGTGAATGAGTGGGTGAGTGAGTAGGTGAGTGGGTGAATGAGTGGGTGTGAGGAGTGGTAACGTAGTGGTATGCACACTGCACTGCGTAGAAGCGACCTGGCCACACATACTGATTGCTCATCGAAGTGGCTTTTCACTTGGAAATGAATAGCAGACAAATACCCTAAAGGCAGATTTCTAAATGTGGAGGGGAAAAACCGGATCTTGCACTGAAACTCTGAGACCCAGTCAATAATTTACCCTTTGTGTTGTTGACAATATTTCACCCAGTACCTGGGTGCCCGTTTCATGACCTGAATGTATGCAGGTCTCCCTTGCCAAGGGGTCACGCTGCATTAATGCACTCAAGCCTGGTGAAATAAAGGACGCCCTCAAAATAGGTTGGATTTGTCGACAATGCAGAGTCTGTAATGGAGTCTAACGAAGATCGTCGTGGCAAAGCGACGTACCGAGAAAAGGCAGAAGTTTAGTTTGGACGCCGCCCACCGAGATGAATTTTCCGAGGTTCAGACCGTGGGAGACGGGGGCTGGGTCATCCTGAGTCTCCTGGGAGATGGAGCTCCTCCTACACTCACAGCACAGGAACACACACAGAGTCTACTGAGGGTCAATGTCTCTCTACACACAGCACAGGACACACAGAGTCTAATGAGGGTTCATGTCTCTCTACACATGGACATTACAGGCAGCCCACGACTTGCGAACGCCGGTACTTACAAACCAGCTTCCATTGAATATTAAAAAATAAAATTGATTGAAAGTGCAAACTCCCAGTTGCAAACTGAACCGCATAACTATTTTGTTCAGAGGAGCGATCCTCTGCGGGATGTAATGAGTCGGCCTCGTTCTGGGAGTGTTTGCATGTGTACGGACATTGTGTGTGTGTGTGTGTGAAAGTGTGGGGTGTCTGTCCCGAGACCTCGTGTCAGCGAGCCTTCCACATTTCTCGTGGCCTCAAAGTGCACCTGGCCTGGCACAGGCGCCATGGTAACGTCACCATCACTTAGTGGTGAATGGCGGGTATTGGTATTGATGTGGGGAGCGGTAGTGTAGCGGTGAGTGCACTGTGCTACGAACGCGGCAACCTGAGTTCGTTTCTTGCTCACAGCCAACACCAGTACCTGGTGTGGGGTGTGAACATCACCACTGGAGAGACAAAAGCAGCGGGCCGTGACGCTGGCCACCCACCCCGTCGTGTGCCACAGTGGCGGCCATCTTAGGCGCTGCTCTCTGAGAATATTTGCCCCAAACAGCCTGTTAAGGCTACACGGGGGATTGTTGTCGTTGGGGTGTCTTTGTCTTTGTGTGTGCATGCGTGCCCCGTTTGTTATGGTGACTCATTGCCACCCTTCCGACTACAGGCTAGCATCAATGTAAGTGAACATAAATAACATATTTTTTTCTATTCATGTTATTTTATGTTTGATTTACTATACAGTATTTTTTTTTTAATTGTTAGATGCAAATGTTAAACATTTCTTCTTTATTATGAGCTTAACAATGCTTCCCTCTTGTTGAACCGTAACACATTTTATAACCGTGTCGGCATTTAAATACGGTGCATTATTATTCTCCGATTTACGAACCGTTCGACTTACGAACGAGTCTCAGGAACAAATTACGTGCGTAACCCGATGACTGCCTGTACTGGATGCAATAGACTGTATGGGATACAATTGCATAATGGGGTTTATTTGGATTCACATCACGACCGTTCGCTGATTTGTCCACCAGGTGGCAGACAGAGCTCGAGTTTGAGTCTGGGTTGGTACTGACCTGAGACTCTCATGCAGGGGATCCTGGAAAACACAAACCCGCATTTCACATTAACATTGACATCATAAACAGATGCCCTGCATCCACACAGTCGCCTGCTATTTACAGCAGAGTGCGACATCAGAGAATTAGCAAATACCTGCACACTTAGAATGGATAAAAAGACAAAACCAATATTTACAGGTTTAGTCCAGCACCTACATGAGTGGTTTAATAACAAGTAATGTTCTCACTACAACAATTGATGTGTTGAACTCTGAATAAAGTTAACTTTAAAAAATATTTAGCAGGTAAATTCCACTGAGCTTTGTCGCTCTTTTTCAGAAGCAACCTGGCTATCACAAATGACAGCTCAACTCCGTGGCTTATCACGTGGGAATTTATAGTGGCTGCCTAATTCTTTGAATGTGTGATGTTTATTATAAATGTGGAGGGAAAAAACGGAGGACCGGGAAAAAATCCACGCATGCACGAGGAGAGAGAGAGATGCAAACTCCAAATATACAGCAGACGTCAGGGTTGTTATCGAACCCACGACCTCCTGCACACCAGGCGAGGTAGTTAACATCTCCTAACCACCACGGCGAGTGAATGGAGGTGGTGCCACCTGCAGGAAGGAGAGCGGGTCCTGCACGGCGAGGGCGGCGAGCAGCTGGTTGATCTCCTGCTCCAGGCCGCGTGCTCTGCTCTCGTAGCGAGCGATGTCCGCCTGGATGCGGGACAGCGCGGAGCGGCCCTCCTCGTCCACGCGCTCCAGCGCCTCCCTCTCCTCCTCCTTCAGCTGCTCCCTCCGGCGCTCAAACTCTCGGCTGATCCGCGCCTTGATCCCACGCACAGACTCCTACAGAGACAGTGCCGAGTTGAGTCACACGTTAGGTAACGACACAATGTGGTGTACAGGCAATGATTGTTACCATACCTAGATTATGTACATGGAAGTGGGCGACACATACATTGGGAGCTCGTGAACATATGAAGCACAGGGAGAATGAAAATGGGACATACGGGGAATATATCATAGGCAAGGATAGTATATGAATTACTTCTGTCTGTAGCTACACGTTGCTGAGTGTCTATCTGGGGGAAATTAAATACATCTTTATGCGTATCATTCGCGTCTGTCTGTCGTCCCACTCTGGATCTACCAAACGATGCGTCGGAGGGAAATGCGAATTAAATCAAAACAAAGTCTCTTGCCGAGAACATTCCCAGGAAATTGTGTCAAAGGTCTGCGAATATACAGAACAAATACACGTGACATTGCTCGATGGTTTTAAGCAAAAATGTGCTGAAAGACAAATACTGCTGATTTCTAAGGCAATACTCACGTCCACTCTCCCTGGCACTCAGGTTAAGTTGGTGGGGTCAAAATGGAGGTTGTGAGCAATAAACGAATCGACAGGGAAAGTCACCAATGCATCGTCTAGCGTGGATCGATTCCATCCCTCCAAAACCAAAACTGCTGTCATGTTGAAAGTTGCGTCATCAATTAAGTTTCTGTTTTATTGCGTGGTGGCCTAATCACGTCGTAAACGTGTGTTGCAAATGGGACCATCCTAAACCAGTTGTAATGTTTCCCACATTTTTTTCCTGATGTGTAAAGATACACAAAAGGAATATATTTAGTTGAAGATTAAAGTTTTATAAAGGTTATGTCCTCAAAAAATGGGCTTTAAAAATGTTTTAGGACACAGTTACGAACTCACACTTTTCTCTGTTACAGTGTGATGTCGTTGATTTTGTATATTTATAGTAGGCAGCCAGTGAGTTGTCATTGGCAAACGATTCGCTTGAAATCCACACTGCTTGCAATTCACCGAAGTTATATCCGTCCCGACGCGTGGGGAAGTGCTCGTCAATAATAAGAGTTACTTCAGCAGTTTTTTTTTGCTGTGGTTATCTCACCTTATGAGGATTGCTTGCGTTGCGATCGAAACGTCGTGATCTATTATTATTTCTACCTACGTGACTTTACCGAAAGAACCAAAGAGTATAATAAGAGTTAGGTTTACTTAAATACGATTCGTATGCAAACCAGAAGAGGGATTTGTGCGGCTGCCGCCTCTCACTGTACCTCCACGTATCGGTAGTCGTCCCTGAGTGTCCGTGCCGTGACGCCGCCGTGTTCCTCTTCTCCTCTCTCCCCTCCTTCTTGACTCTGAGCTCCTCCTGCGTTGTGGTAAATAAATCAATAAATACGAGGTGCTCACTATTGCCATTGGTGGATCACTGATTAGGCCGTTGGCTACGAAAAAGTTCAACACACATACACACATTTGTTGTCATGTTTCAGCATACGTCTCCATTTATACTTTCACCATGATTGTATCTGACTGCACTATCCGTGTTATTATTGAGATGAAGAATCCAAAGGAACTACCGTGGAGCTATGCAATATCCTCCTACAACATCATCAACAAATATCACGTACATTCTAAATATGTTTTTAACCTCTTCCAGCGATGGGTGTAGTTGTTTCTCACACGCCTTACTATACATAGCAACGTTTCTCACTTAGTCAAACTAAGATTTTTATTCTAACGCAAAATATTGTTAACGTGCTGTCAAATGTTTACTCGGCTTAGACCATCAACTCACTAAACTTGAGAATCCGGTTTAAACCATGGGCGGCCGACTTGATTCCAACTCAGAATTACATCGTTACCATCTCAGCGTTCTGACGTCTGAGCCCCCCTTCCACCTCTACCTGGGTCTCCCTGTAGAGGGCCGTTTGGTCTCAACAGGAGCTCACCTGGTTGAGGTGAGGAGTCACGACCTACTGATGTGAATCTCTCAACCTCCTGTAACAATGTGGATTACAAAGGAACATGACACTTCACCTGTCTTGTCTGTTGCACTCTTTCCACTGCGATGACCTGTGTCCAGAGTGGTCTCCTCCGATGGCGCAGACTGTGCAGACCGGGATTTCGTCCTGTTCACAGTAAAGAATGAGCTCCTGTCTGTGCTCCGGCAGCGTCGCTCCTCCAGGTTCGCGATGGGAGCCACCAGGACGTGATCACTCAGCCTGGGATTCTCCAAGTGAGGCCTCAAGTGCGTCGCACAGAAGGACATCTCACATCTCAGGCAGGTCTTCACTGCAGGAGTGTGGCCATCACTGCAGTGTCACACACGACGGCCGCGGCCATCCCGTCTCCAACTCTGAGCTGCTCCGCCAGGTTGGCGAGGGCCACGTTCCTCCTCAGCTGGGGTCGCACAGGGAAGGTCGCTCGGCACTGCGGGCAGCTGAAGCTGCTCGCCGTCTCCCAGGCGGCCTCCAGGCACCGCAGGCAGAACGAGTGTCCGCAGCTCAGCGTGGAGGGGCAGACGAACGTGCCCAGGCAGATGGAGCAGCGCAGCTCACTATCCACACTCTCACTGGGAGTCGCGCTCGCCATGACCCATGGCTTCGCTGGGATCGCTCGCTGTGTGGCTCAGAGAGACGCTGGACCAGGACCTCTCTCTTATAGCGACGGTGAAGAAGGAAGTAAAATACTTGAAATGCTTTCATTGTCGTCACTGACATCACGAGACACCGCCTGGAATGTGAACCCGCGCCCTGAGGTGTGCAAACAGCAGCCTCAAGGTGAACACGGCTACTGTACACACCTTGACATTTAAAGAAATGAGTGCTGTTGTTAATATAAATCGGTGAGGCTCAGCTGCGTTGGCTCATTCGTGAGATGAGTGTCGAGAGATGAACTCATCCTTCTACAGCAAGTTGGTGGCAAGATGTTATCTCCCTCGCCCGGTATACAGGAGGTGTGGGATTTGATCCCGACCTGACGCCTGCTTTATATTTAAAGTTTGCGTCTCTCTCTCTCGTGGTCGCGTGAATTTTTCTCCGGGTCCTCCGGTTTTCCCTCCACATTTACAATCAACATCACGCGTTTAGAGTAGTTGGCTGCAATACATTTCCACGTGATAAGCCATCATTTGTGGCCAGGTCGTTTCTGAAAAATAGCTACACAGCTCAGTGAGCCTTACCTGCTAAAATTAAATAATAGTTGCATAGTTGTAGATATCTCATGATGTCTGTAACTCCATCTCCGTGTAATTACCCCAACGTGACAAGTTGCTTGAATGTCATCGTGGCATCAGAAAAATAAGTAATATTAAAAAAACTTTTTTAAACACGCTTTTATGAAATGTACTAGTAATGGCAGAACTCACGACTCCAGGAAGTGGCCCCGAAGCTTGCCATGACGTAAGGACCGTGGCCAATTACAGCCAATGTCAGTTGACCGTGGACAATTAGACCCAAACCGAAACATAACATATAAAAATAATGTTTAAAAATATGATTTTTTTTTTTATGATAGAATATAGCATTGTCATCAGTGTGACATAAGTATACCAAGTTTGCAGTCGATACCACATTGGGAAGTGGGTTAAAATTGAGTTACAAGATTTGAGGATACAACAACGACAACAGACAACAGAGTGAGTTAAAAGAAAGCGCGTATATAATAAAAAAATTGCGTGTAGCCTCCCGTGACAGATCCTGGAATCTTGAGCCTTTTGCTAGCAGTGTGAATCTATCACCAACTCTACCTGCCTCCATCACCCACTGCTGGCGATGTCACCGTCTCTCACTCTCACCTTGTCCGAGACTGCAGATCCCCGTGCCGGCCATTCACAGCCGCACCCACCGCTTACTTCACCTGCGTTGTTGTTTCACATTCACACGCACGGCTACTCAACACGCATGCACACGCAGCAACACAAATGCCCATCGGCGTTCACTATGATTGCAATATTTTTTACCAATAAAACTAAACTATTTTTATTTAACCAGGTGTAATGCCCCACTGAGCTATTAGCTTATTTTTCAGAAGCGACCTGCCCATCACAAATGACAGCTCAACAAAGTGGCTCATCATGTTGGAAATGCATAGCAGCCAAATAATCTAAATACTGCACTCTAAACGCTGCTTGAACCCGGAGACGCTCTCTTGGGCTCTGCGGGTTGTTCACAGCAGATAACGAATGCCTTGGACTCTACACCCCAGTCGGACTCGTGGGAAAACCCGACCTGGATTCCACTGAACACGGCCTGGACTCATCTGCTTAGCTTACTAACGGATAAAAACGCGGCACTGCATTTGAAAGCTTCCTTCTACAAGGTCACCAATGCGAGTGAAGGGGGTTCCCACGATGTCCACGGCTCATTCCTCGGTGCAGCAGCAGCAGCGACGGCTCAGTGCTGAGTGAGGCGCAGTGGCTCCAGGCCAGGCAGGCAGCGTGATCCGCCGCGGGTTTTGCAGCCAAAAAATCCTCGCAGCGTCCCGGGAGAGCCGGTTCGGTGACAGCTCAGCACCCCTCGGGTGCCGCGCAGCCACACCCGCCTACGCATTCGGTTACACTCACAACTCACTCACACACACTTACACACTCACTCACTTACACACTCACTCACTTACACATCACTCAACGCTCACACACACACTCACACACATCACTCACTCTACACACTTACACACTCACTCACACTTACACACTCACACACACTCACTTACACACTTACACACTCACACACACTCACACCACTCACTCACACTTACACACAATCACTCACTCACTCGCACACTCACACACGGACCTACGGTCTGTCTCTCTCTTTCTCACTCACCGCTTGTATAAAGCCGTCTCTGTCCCGTCTGTATGCTCCCGTACATGAATCTGTCTCCCTCGAGCCTGCATATATCTATAAAAAGTCATCTGTTTCCCGTCCGTGTTGTATATTTGCCTTTTCCAAAAATGTATATTAAGAGTGATATTGCCTATTTTTAACGTATCAGTTTTTTTTCTCTGGATTTAGTACGTTCTAAAAAAACACATCATACGAATTATGTAATTCTCCACGTCCAGAATAACATGTATCCCAAGGGTATATCCAGAGCCTGCCCAACCGCCTTTGTCTTCCCAGTGGCTGTCATTGCATGCTGCAGCAGGAATTCATATTAAGGATGAGTCGACCTAAAGAGGGGGGAAGGCCGCTTCACAATCAACAAGACGACAGACACACACCACACCAGGGGCAATTAAGAACATCTGCGCTCACACAATCTTGGGATGACCTCCGGAGGCAGGGAGGGGAGTTTTTAGAGTTTTAGAGGGGTTATGACATCAGGTGTCAGCATGGCCAAAATATAACTTTTTTTGTTTATTTAAATTAGTAAATTGTAATATATCTTAGTAATTTTATTTACATGTATTTTGTTCATTTTATTATTCATTCACATTATTAATTGTATTATTCATTTGCTTTACTTATTATTCACTTTATTTGCTACGTAATGTTCTTCTGCTATTCTTTGCGCTCATTTGCAAGTTCACTTTGCTCAGTAGATGGTTGCTGCTGAGGTCGTGACGGGTTTCTTTTATTCCATTCCCGTTGCTCTGTGGCCCCGGTACCGTTCCCGTGCTGCTGCGATGTGCACCGATGCCCACTTTAGTGAGGGCGACGTTGGCACGCAGACTGAAGATCGATTGAAGAGGACAAAAGCGAGTCCCTTCATGTCCAGTCAATGTCTCTTTACTTGAACAAATATGCAAAACATTACCCCATTGTCTTCTTGGTTCTTTCGGTAAAGTCACGTAGAAGGAAAATAATAAAATAATAAAAATAAAACATAATAAAATAATTCTCACGACGTTTCGGCCACAACGCAAGCAGCCGTCTTCAGGTGGAGAACAGGTCTGTCGAGAAGGCAGACTCTGCCTTCTAAACAGTCAGACTCTGCCTTCTCGACAGACCTGTTCTCCACCTGAAGACGGCTGCTTGCGTTGTGGCCGAACGTCGTGAGAATTATTTTATTATGTTTTATTTTTATTATTTTATTATTTTCCTTGACTTTACCGAAAGAACCAAGAAGATGAATCCCTGCAGTCACGAAAGCTTTAAATCGAAATTACCCCATTGCTCGAGGAGTATCCTGAAGCTCATTAAATAACTTAACAATTATGATTGGAATCTCAGCTCCACCGTAACGAAGAATGAAAGCTGTCAATGCTCCCCACGTTTCAGCTTTCAACTGAAGAAGCTTCAAATCTTGACGATGCTCCCAGCACGTGGAGGGAACGTCACAGACATCGCGCTGATCAACAAGCGGCAGAACCTGAAAGCGCATCGGAGAGAGGCACAACGCGCAATCTGCACACCGCACTCCGACGTGCACGCCGCTCACCAATCCCAGCGCCACAGTCCAGGCTCACCTGCAGCTTCCGAGATCTGGAAAAAAAATCGGCGACATTCCGGGTTGATTTGGCCACAGCCTCTTGTGAAATCTCCCGTGCACTTTCATTGCTCAGCGCGCCCCGCGAATCCCTGCGGTGGAGTGGCAGCGCCCTCGCGTGGCGCGCACCAACACCGCTCCAGGCAGCGCAGGGACCCAAACGGCGTCTGGGAATCGGTCGCGATTCGTGACTCGGTCCGCAACTCTGGACCAGTGCCGGCAGTGAAACAATGAACCCCACGTGACCCCCAACATCCCCATCTCCCCCACCCCCTAGGGGTCCCTCCTATCACGTGACAACCCCAAGCCCCCCCCCCCAGACAACCCCCCCACCTCTACCCCTCCCCTGGTGGCTGTTGTTGTGGTGGTGATTTTGGTGGTGGTTGTTGTTGTACTGGTAATTGTTGTGGTTGTTGTGGTGGTGGTTGTTGTGGTGGTTGTTGTTGCTGCTCTACCACTTTCTCCTGACGAGCACCACGTGGTCACGTGGCGCCCTCGCGGGGAGTTCCCAGCAGCGTCAGCGGTGACGTCACCACCCCCCCCCCCACAGTGCTGGGTCACAGCAGCGAGGTGACGTCACCAACCCCCCCCCCACAGTGCTGGGTCACAGCAGCGAGGTGACGTCACCAACCCCCCCCCCCACAGTGCTGGGTCACAGCAGCGAGGTGACGTCACCAACCCCCCCCCCCCACAGTGCTGGGTCACAGCAGCGAGGTGACGTCACCAACCCCCCCCCCCCCACAGTGCTGGGTCACAGCAGCGAGGTGACGTCACCAACCCCCCCCCCCCCCACAGTGCTGGGTCACAGCAGCGAGGCTGCAGGGTGCCCCTCAGGGCCTCTGTTTGTTTTTGTTGTCGCCAACGCGGTGACGTGGTGACGTCACAGCGAGGGACTCCCCGAGTGGCGGGAATCCAGAACGTCAGAATCTGTGTTTGTGGTGCAGGAGGAATCCGATGAGCTGTGAAGCTCTTTGTGTCACAGATGGTGCAGTGGTGAGGGCGGGCGTAGGGGGGAGAGTGGTGACGTCACGGGGGGAGCGTGCGTGGTGACGTCACCGTGGGGAGCGTGCGTGGTGACGTCACACGTTGGGGGGGCGGTGACGTCACCACGTTGGGGGAGCGTGCGTGGTGACGTCCACGTTGGGGCGTGCGTGGTGACG